ATTTTGCTACTTGTAATATTGACACATATCTGGCACGGGTACATTCATAAAGTCCGTATGATTTCTTTTGACTATTCGAACATTTTTTCCATTTTGGAATATTCGTTTTCTAGTGATTTATATAAATAAATAATTTATTTTTTATATTAAGAATTGCATTAGTGTGTCATAATTTTCAAAGGATTTTATTAACTTTTCTATCAAAATAAATGAACCATCATTTCAAAACATTTCTTTTTCTATGATATTTTAATCTAAATAGAAGCGAGCAATATGTAATGACAATGACAATTATTTATTCATAATCAACAGAATGCGGAAAAGAAATAGTTTTACTGTGAAGCAAAAATAAAATTTTAGAGAAATTGTAGACGAAATTTAAAAAAAATGAATGCAATTTGAAAGCAATAATGAGAATTTTGCAATTTAATACGATTTTCTCTTATTGTGTTTTTAACAATTTTCATTTTAACTTGTATAAATAAGATCTGATAAGATCATTTACCGCATTACTAATTTGTTATCTATCAATTTAAACGTACAAGAGTTCTTCATCATGTGTAGCTAACATCGAGTTGATTTTGCATCTTCAATGAGAACAAGATGAAAGAAACCTGAAAGGAACCTGGCATAAAATACCAGATGTGTTATGAAGTATCGGCCCGCGGCTTCTTAGTTTCTTTTTCAGATGGACAATGACGGTAGAAGTCGGTTCGTGGATATTCTCGAATTTCAAGCCTGTCTTTCGCGTAGCCTCTGGCCTCGCGTGTCGTATATATCGGAGAACTCCGGTATTAAGGTGGCCAGGGCGATCCAGAAATGGAATATAATCAGCTCGGTGTGAGAGGCAGAGAAGGAGACGAGGCGCGGAAAGGCGGCGGAAGAGAGAAAGGGTGAGAGAGAGAGAGAGAGAGAGAGAGAGAGAGAGAGAGAGAGAGAGAGAGAGAGAGAGAGAGAGAGAGAGAGAGAGAGAGAGAGAGAGAGAGTAGAGAGAGAGTACGAGAGTACGAGAGAGAGAGAG